AAGACTATGTGTTATGCTTTGGCAGAAAATTTGTCTACATTTTCTCCATGTCCTGAAACTTTGTAGGAGACTGAGATTAAGATCAGCTGACTAATTAATCTGGGGAAGGAAATTTCAACTTTCAGGCTATGGCATGGGCACTTCTGGCTGCCTTCAACCGGATTTATGATGGGAATCAGGAACAAATAGAAGGGCTAAATAATTTTAAAGTTTGCAGTTTTACCAGAAAGCAAGCACCTACCATGATGAGGCAAAAGAAAACATGGTTGCTGAAAGATTAGCATTAAAAAGAAACTAAGTACTTTGCATCAGGACACTAGGAAAAATCGTTTGAAAGCATCTCAAGAATCAGCAAGACCTAACCTTCACACACTCAAAGATGCAAAGATGTAAAGCTTTCATTTACAGAGAGAGCCTCCGGGCATGCTGCTCATTCAGAACCACAGAGAAAAATACTTCCTGAGTTTAGCCATTCAGGTGTTCAGAAGCCCACTTCAGCTATGTTCCAGGGGCACCTGGCTGCTGCTTGAGCTGGTGGCAGACCTTGACATTATCCACATGGTGCTGATTTTACAGACATGTAGAATACAAGGGTTATGGGGTCAGAGAGGCTTCTACTCTAATTTCAGTGGAAGACCTGAGAGGCCAGGCAGTGTATCCCTGAGAGGGCAGTGTGTGAAGCTGTGAGAGTGAAGCCAAATGTGCGGTGGAGACCCCAGGAAGTTGGAGATCCAGAATGTGGAGCATCTGCTTAGGAAAGCTGCACGCAGTGGAAAGAGTCAGCCCAAGACAAAGGCCTGCAGTGCCATAGCGTGGGGCTGCCCAAGCCTTTTGGAGCTCACATCTACCCTCAGCCTCCCCAGGTGCTGGACACGGAACTACAAGATATAATATTTGCCTTGCTGGATTTTGGTCTTGCTTTGGTCTGATGTCTTTCTATTCCCAATTTTTCACCTTTGGATTGGGAATATTCACCCTGTGTGGTTGTGTATGGGAAATATTTGACTTTCTTTTCAACGTTTACAGATGCTCACAGCTAAGAAAATGAAGCACGGAAGAGATTTTGGACTTGTAATTTTCAACAATACTAAAACTGTTGAAACTTTGATGACTTTGAGATGGGGTAAATGGATTTTGCATAGAAATGAACTCGAGTTTTTTGGGGGACAGAAGCAGAATGCTATGATTTGGATCAGATGTACCCCCAAATTCTCATGCATGTGGGAAGAAATAGATTCTGGGGCCACTGCATGATCCAAGCACAGCTGGACGTGCTGTTAAGCGGTGTGGGCAGCCATGGGAGGTGTGGCCTGCGAGGTCTGTCCCCTGTCCACCTACTTCCTTCTCTTTCCCACCATGACATGAGCAGTTTTTCTCCCCTCATGGCCTCTGCCATGCCATTTTCGCCTTTGGCCCACCAACCACAGACTGAGACCATAACCAAAATTAACCTCTCCTCCAAATTGTCGGCTATTTTGCCCCAGTGATGAAATAGGACCCCAAGTGCTCCCCAGGAAGCTCAGGTTCCTCAGGTGACCTTTTCCTTGCAAGGACCTGAGGTTTCCTGGGTGAGGCTGGGTCCTGCCTGGCACACAGTGGTGCAGGGTGAGGCACCCCAGGTCTCCAGCCCCTAATAGCTACAAGAATTTGGGGCCTGACTTAGTCCGTTCAGGCTGGTCTAACGAATACCATGACTGGGTTGCAAATGTAGACTTCCTTCTCACAGACCTAGAGGCTGGAAGTCCAGGGTCACGGCGCTGGTGGATTTAGTGTCTACTGATGGCCCTTTCCTGATTGTCAGAAGGCACCCGTTTGCTCTGTCTTCACGTGTTAGGAAGGGCAAAACTCTGCAGCTCCTTTGTGGGGCCCCAGTGTCACTAAGGGCACCACCTTTATGTGAGTCTCCCACATCGGCCCCTCCTTTTGATACCATTGCTTTGGGACTTAGGATTCAACCTACAAATTCTGGGGTCACAGACATGCAGACCATGGCTACCCCACCTGAGCACTAAGTGGCCTGTGAACCGGAAGAGTTTCCTGCAGGACAGCTGGGTCAGCCATGGACATCAGACCCCTGTGGAAGGTCCGGGGATCAGACTCTCCCCATCCTGGTGTCTGGAAGCACAGGTGAGCCAGGAGACCCATTGATCCCCTAGAGCCCCAGCTCGGTCCAGAGACAGAGAAGGCCGTGAGCCATACCAGGGGTGCTGCTGGTCCTGCCTCGGGGGAAACTGGAAAATCCAGACACACGGTGTGCTGCCTAGCAAAGCCTGCAAATGGTGACACCAGGAGCCGGGGCTTCCTAACCTCCCTGTGTCCCTGTGGCCCACTGAGCGCGTCTCCAGCATGTTGTGTCACCCTCACGATCCTCCCAGAGGCCGTCAGTGTCCTGCCTTACAGATGAGGAAACTGAGGCAACAAGAGGTGGAGCAGCTGGCTGAGGTGTGGGGTGCTGGTGCTGGTGACCACTGTGCTGCCTGCGCAGTTGTCCCGGGCTGGGCCACCTGTTCCCACTTGCTGGAATCTCAGGGCTACCCGTGCTGTCTTGAGTGCAGAAGGGTGAGGCCCCTCCTGTCGTCCCCCTTTGGCTGCATGCACTGGAAAAACAGTTCAGGATTCACACTGACGGGGCAGGGCAGTCGGTGGGCCCAATGCTTATCTGGCAGCACTCACGTCCAGCTGTGACATCAACCATCTGAAACCCAACCTGGAGCCTTCAGCGCAGGTGAGAGTCTCCCAGCTGAGCCCGTGGCTGGCCCTTCTTGATCCTGCTGCTTCCCCCAGCTGGAAGGACACCCCCAACCCAGTGGCTCTGCCCACTGAACTTCCCCTGGACACAGGTGGGCATGGCCATCCCTGCTCTTGGACTCCTGGAGGCCACTCTCAGCCCTTCCAAGGCCTCAGGGGATGAGGTCCAGCAGCCCTGGGTAGAGGCTCTTGAGGTCCCCGGAGACAGACCGGTGATCAAGTTTACAGCTGGAGCCAGGGTGCACCCCGGCCTTCCATGCACAGTGTCCTCGGCTGTGTTAGGGACACGGGACCCCCCTCACATAGCCATACCTCCCTGCTTCCTCTGGACCCTGGAGTAGAGGAGATACAAGCCCTGGGGTCCTGCTTTCTGCACATTTCCTGTCTGAAGAGCATGGAAATCCCTGGGCAAGGCTGCAGCAGTTCCCTCTCAGGCCTGGGCTGGGGGTGCCTTGAGGCTGGTGGCCCTGGGTCCCGAGGGTGGAGTGGAAGATAGCAGAGACCTGGAGAGTGGGATGTGGCTGTGGAGAAGGAAGAGCCAACCTCACATGTGTGTCCTCCACCCATTCAAGGGCAGAGACCTGGAGAGAGAGCACGGGAGCAGGTTCCTAACTAACAACACGGCAGGATGGAGATGACCAGTGACAGCCGCTAATTAGGGAAGCTGTTTCCAGACATTGAAACTTCTGTATTTCTGAGCACACAGAAGGAAGGGAGCTGATCTTGCTCCCTGGGTCCCCACAGAGCTCCCCCGGGCTGGTGAGGAGGAGTGCAGAGTCACACATAGGAGCAGCCCTGATTTCCCTCTGAGTGACACATGAAAGGGCCAGGGCATCTGTGCACTTGTGCAGCTGCAGCTGTGCTCCCAGGACTCCACTGGACGAAGCTGTCCCTTCCCTCTAGGGGAAGATGAGCTGCAGGCTGGGCCCTGTGGGCAGATGACTGGGCATCTAATCCCCATGGGTGGCATCTGTGTAGCTCTGCACCAACCTGGGACACGGTGTGTGTGTCCTGAACTATCCTTGGCCTCACTGCAGGAATGTTAGAGAAAACAAACACTGGACAGGGCTCAGAGCAGACTTGGAACCAGGAGCAGCAAGAGGGGTAATCAAAGCATACCTGTGATTATTTCAGCTAAGGGTACCGAGTGCCATTTGGGGAAGAAGATGATGGTTAGGTGGTGAAGGGCATGAGCTCCAGGGTGTGGGGCCACCCCAGGCCTTGAAGCTCTGACTCACTGTGGCTCAGTTTCCCCTTCTGTGAAGGCTGTACCAGGAACTCCTGAGCACCGGGTCCTCCCTCATGTCTGGCCTGGTATTCTCTCTCCTTCAGTGGCACACCAGGGACCGACCCGGGCCTCTCCTCCGCCCCTCGCTCCTCAGCCCCACTGGGCTGTGAGGTCTTTGTGTCCCTGCCCAGCCACCATGGGCTGCTTCTCATCAGTGGAGGCTGAGGGTGGTGAACTGCCTACTGAGAAACACCAGGACAATCAGCTCCATTCTTATCACAGTTCCTGCTTCCTCTGTACGATTTCCTTCACACCTGCTGAGTGTGTCTTGGGCTTGAGCACATGATTCAGACTAATTCCTCAATTTATCCTAAACATTAACGTGTGGTCATGTCACCCTTTTTTCCCCCTGTAACAAGGATCGAACTCAAGACCTTGTGCTTGCCAGGCAGGCGTGGCACCACTTCTTTCTTTTTCGTCTGGAGAAGCTTAGAGCCTTGTATTTTATCATCCCCAACTCCCCAACCTCCTCCGAGGGCAGGGCAGCTGTGCTCTGAAGAAATCGCCTTCCTCTGCCCCGAAGTCAGCATTTCTGGCCCAGGGAGGCCGTCTGAGCACAGGACCCCTATGGCGCTGTGCTGTGGGTGAGCTCAGGCTGCCCTCAGATGCAGTTAACCGCTGTCGCCTGTCACATCTGGGTGGGAAGGGCGCCCTCCCCCGACAGTGCCACCTCAGAAAGTGGGGAGAGAGGCTCGAACCCAGGAGCCTGGCATGGAGGAGGCCTCCCCAGAGCGAGGGGCTCCCATCACACCTGTCCCAAGCCAGAGCAGGGTGGGGCCGAGTGCCCTCCTCAGGCGCACATCCTGCCACTGTGCTCAGTATTTATTTCGTCCCGGTGTGGGCGGCTGTGGGCCGACCCTGCAGATCAGAAGGTATCGAAATGGAAATACCTACTAAAGCAGTTGCAGCTAATGCAGACGCACAGCCACGTGTTACAAACATTCAGTGTGGAATTCTTTTGCAGGTTGCAGCTTCCTGAAGCTTTGGTGATTTTCAAATCTTGCTACTTGATCCACATGTGGACAGTCTCACCCGACTTCTCTTCTGCAGCGTGCACAAGCAGCAAGGCCGTGGAAATTGCCAGATGTGACTGAGCTGTGCCGTGCCTTTCCCACACCCACTGGCTTCGCTCCATCACTGACTAGCACGTGGCTCCATCTGCCCAGATGAAACTGTGATGAGAGCACACACACATGTGAGTGCACAAACACAAGATTTGTGAACTTAGTTCCTGGCGGCTAAGCCTGGGCTCCAGACCAGGTGGGCCCATTCCCAAGGGCCAGGAGTCTCAGTGCTCCAGAGTGGGCACAGCGCCTTGCCCTGGACAGCGCAGTCCCTGCTTGCCCTCTGGACCAGTGGTCTCAAATCCCTGTGTGGGGAGGCCCAGTTCTCTAGAGAGAATAACCCCAGTCATCTAGAGCAGGCATTTCTAATTCTTTTCTTTGGAATCATTTTTTAATTAGTTCCCGTTACTAATGCAGGGTGCTGGAGTTTGCTTCGGGAAGGTGGTCCGCGCCTTTAACACACCTCCACCATTGCAGTCCCATTTTCCCCACTTCTCCCCTCCCGCTGATCCCCTTCCTCAGCACCAACAGTTTACTTCCTAGTTCTCTGTCATCTCTTCTTTGTTTTACTTATAGTTTATGTGTGCTTTAGGTTTCCCATATAAAAGAAAACATGCAGTATTTAAGATTCAAATGCAAGAAAATGAATGGAACTAGAAAGCACTGTGAGCTTAGAGCAAGTGTCCGGCTCCCTGGACCCAGTGGCCCGGTGCTCCAGACCGGGTAGTCGTGGTTCTCCCGTTGGTTCACTGTTGCCCATCCTCTGCTTTGTGCTTGAAATCCTCTAGGACTTCAGGCCCGCTGAGGTCCTCAGGCACAAGGCCAACCCTAACCTTCGCCTCCGTCTCACCAGTCAGTGTCCTAGGCCGGAATGGCGCGACCCTCACAGGCAGAGCCCCGGCCAGGCCCTCGCCCTGCCGGCGCGGCCAGTCTCCTGGTGGCCTGACCTCGTTGCGGCTGGGATGTGCCTGAAGTCAGGAAGCCAGGCCGAGTTGACTGCCCGTGGAAGTGCCCTCTTCCTGACTGCCCACGAGTACTACTTGGCGTCTAAGATGTCCGATTATTTCACGCCTCGGAGCCAGTCAGGGAGGAATGCTGGCCATGTGGGCTCTGCAGGACGGCTAGGTGGGCTCATGTGTCTAACGGGGGTGGCCCTGCGCAAGGGTCACACTCGATCCCACACTGAGAACAAGCTGAGAATCAAGGCTCAGTGCCTGACTCCCGGGCAAGTCTGTGCCTCTCTCCTCTTCCTGCTGCTGGATTAGAGCCAGGGAGGGGCGGCTCCCTTCCTCTCCACTGGTGGCGCAGGGCCCGGGAAGGGGCCAGCTCTCTCCACCCTGCTGGACCTCTGGTTCTGTGTCCAGGGCGAGGCCAGCGGGGTCCTCTGTGCCTCTCCTGCCTCCTGGACATGTAGCCAGGCCGTGGCCTGCGATGAGTGGTGGATGCCTAAGGCCGGGCCCACCTCACACATCCCCAGGCTGGTGGCCTGGGCAGTGTCCAGTCTGTCTCCCTCTCAGGTGGGTCCCTTTGGCCCTGGGGACCAGCGAGGCAGGGTGACTCGGAGGCCCTGGATGGTTGTCTGGATTAGGAAGGAGCTCATGAGAAGAGCTCTGACTCACAGCCTGGACCAAGAGTGCCACCCTTCAGTGTCCTGGGTTTGGGCCAGGACCGAGGACCTGGAGGCCAGGAGCCGCAAGCCTTCCTGCACGAGAGCCTGCTGTCCACAGAGTGCACCTTAGGGTCCACCCGGTCCACATGCTGGGGGGTGGGAGTTTTATTACTGTCTCTCGAATGGGGGAGCGGAGGGAGCACAGGGTCCCCCTTCATTGTGCAGAGGTATGTGCTGTTCTGCATACGCTGGGGCTCGGCGGCAGAAGCCAATCTGGGAGACGTAACACGGTGTGGTCGGCTCTCCCGTGTGCTTGCAGCCTTCCCTCTGTGAGTCTGACTCCCCTGTCTGTTGGATAAAGTCATTTTAACAGCCTCAGGTCACTCAGTGACCCTGCTAGAGGCCCCGTCTCCAAATTACGGGGCGTCCTGTGGTCCTGCAGGTCCACAGCCATTGTGTGGGTTCACAGGGGCTCGGTGCAGCCCAGGATGGGCCTCCTGCACCCCACATCTCGTTCTCCTGGCTTTTGCTCGGTACCAAGTGCCGGTGTCTGACAGGCACCCAGCAAGTGATCGGATGAATCTATGAAGATGTGGTCGCAGCTGTCACGGTAGTGTCTGACCAGCTTCTAGTGTGATTTGTTTGCTCGAGTTTCTAAACATCTTTTTTAAATGCTATGTTCACAGTAGTTTAATCTTCCACCTGGCCCTTATCTCTCACTTTCAGACTTTTTTTCCTGTAGAACCCTAGGAACAGAAGTTGGATATAGCACCTCTGTGTTGGCCCCACTGGGTTTCTGACCCTCTGACCGAGGACTGCACCGGCGGCGAGGCTCTCTCGGTGAATGGAGCTGGGTGTCTGTGCCGACCCTTCCACTGCCTGTTAACTTCTCTGACTATTTCTGCCTCCGTTCTCCGTGCGGTGGCACTAACTCATAAAATTAATTCCCATTTCGTGGGATTGTCAGAAATGAGGATTGTTCTGACCCCTGTTTGAACTCATCAGCCGAAATGAAGTTGCTCACTGAGCTGGGGAAGACAAAGCTCGGTTCCAAGAAATTAATCAACTCCACCGGCGCTGGGAGAGGCCCGGAGTCGGCCGCGCCACGCTGACCCCAAACAGCTCCGATCCCGCGCTCAAATGAAAGCCATCACTCCTGGCGAGGAAGATACTAAATTATCAGCTTTTAAATTTAATTTTCAGTTTACTTGTGTTTTCGATTAGCGTGCCATGTCTCATCAGGACGGGCTGCCTTTCAGGGCAAGCACTGGCTGTGTGGGTGGGGCACCCTTGTCCTCAGAAGGCAAACTGGAGCCACGATCTGTTAGCACCCAAAACTTGGTGGGGGATTGTTTCTTCCTGTGACACCTTAAGCAACACTAGCAAATTATTTTCTTCATACCAAAATCAATAACAGGCTGGGAAATGAGAAGTCGCCCTGGGCCTGGGGCCAAAGAATTTCCTGATAGGCTCCTAAAACTGTCTTTGCTCGCTGGAGGCCTATGGAGGGCTGCCTGCTTCTCTGCCATGATTCAGGCTGGATGTCTCCTTGGGCAGCTAACACTCAAGGGCTGACAGATGGACAGCCGGGGACCTGCGTCCTCAGTCCACCTGCTCCCCACTGGCTGGCGCTCTGCAGGCACAACAGAAACTTCCTTCTTATCCAGTGCAGAAACTGGAACCGCTGCTTCTGGGAGGATTCCCATTCCGAGGGTGGTGACAGCCCTGGCGCTCCCGCTGCCCATGGCTCCTGGTGTAGGTTATACTGAACCCACATGAAAGGCTCAAGGAGAAAACGTCCAAGGAAGTGCTAGCAGTATGGGCATCCTGGCAGAGACATCAGGCCTCAGACATGCCGCAGAGCTGGGACCACCTCATTTCTGGGTTCTCTGGGTCACACAACCATGGAGGATGTAGGAGCAGCACACAGGGCACTGGTGTCCCTGTGTGGGTGACATGGGGTGGCCTCGCTACCCTGCTCGCCCTGGCTCTTCTATCCATGATTTCAGGGCACGAGTCTGTGACAGCTGCACTGGTGTCCATCCCACGCAGCCACCGCCAGCGCTCTGGTTGCCCTGTCCCGCCTGCTTGCTTCTTGTGGGCACATGGTCACCACTCTGGAAATGGGCATGGCCACTTCCAGGCCCCACCGGACACCAGGAGGCTCAGGTGACCCGACAAGCACTTGCGTGGGTGTTAATTCCAAGCTGCCCGCATATCCACCGTGCGTGCGTGCTTTCAGAAGTTACCTGCCAGGGATGGCTGCCCGGGCAGCCCGGGTGTCTGATTCTGCTCACTGCTCACACGCAGCAGGGGTCGGTGCACAGGTCTGAGTCTCGTCCTCATCTTTGGATGGCATCTGCTGGGCCTGTGTGCGAGCAGCCCAGTGGAGAAATTCCTCCTAAAGTTACTCCTGCCCAGGCCTCTTCGCTCCCTGGGTGTGGACCGGCAGCCTCCAGTGAGTTCAGCTCTGTCCTGCACGTGACTCTGCATGTTGCCGGGCAGGGGTGGGTACAAGGTGCCGTGGACACGTCCTGTCCCCTGAGAAATGGGAGCCCTCAAGGCCTGTGTGCTTCACTGACACATCTGGGCCACAGAGAACCCTCCCGGGGCACATGCTCAGTCCACATTCTGTGGGAGGATGCGTGGGTAGCAGCTCTGGGCTCCAGGGGGAGGACGTCTGTGGGTAGGAGTCTGCACGGCGAAGACATCGTCCCTGGTCCCTGTTTCCTGGGGACCTGCATGTGTAGTGAGTCCCCGAGACACGCAGGGTTCCTGACTGGTGTGCTCGGCTGAGGCCAGGTGGTCCCAGTTCACACAGCCGCAGTGCCAGCTCTCCTGCCCCACCATCGGGCTGAGGGCCTGACTTTTCTGGAACCTTTCTTCCCCAACCTCACTGTCCCTCTCCCAGTCTCCAAGGCTCCGTGATTCACTCTGCTGCCCTTGGCCGGGTCCCGCCCACTTCCAGCGCAGGATGGGCACCATCACCCCTCCATCTGTCCAACTTCCCATCGCAGTCCCAGCTGGGCTCTCGGCCTTCCACCCCACCACCTGCCACCCAACACAGGGCCCAGGCAAGCCCTGCCCTTGCCTGCCAGGGCTCTGTTGCTTGCTGTTTTTCCCTGGGATTAGTGCCTGGGGCCACTTTGACAGAGGCCCAGGAATCTGTGAAGGAGACCTGGGGGAGAAGCTGCCCCAGCCTCTCCTGGCTTGCAGCTTTGGCCTGGCTCGACCTGCAGACAAGAGCGACGTCCCTCTCATGGCTGCCTCCCGGGATGCCACTGGCATCCCATGGAGGATGATTTCGAATGTTGGGTTGTCCAGCAGCACTGCCCTGGCCTGCCTACTGGCCAGCTGGTGTGTGCCCTGCCATGTTCTGCATGAGGCCCTGTCCTGTGGAAGGCAGTTGCAGCTCAGGTGCCCTGGATGGGCACTTGTCTCCCACCCGCTGGCTCAGCACTGCACCGTCCAGGCCCTGTGTTTCAGTCAGCTCTTCATCACCGTGAGTACCTGCGACAGGTACTTGGGAAGAAGAGAGGTTCGTTAGCCCTCAGTTTGGGGGTTCTGTGCTCAAGATTGAGCAGCCCCATTGGCTCGACCCCTGGCGAAGATGGTGGATGGCATCACACTGTGGTGGGAGCAGGCACGGTTCCAAAGTGAGAAGGAGCGGGCCCAGAGACCCTTTTATAACCACCTCCCACCAAGATCCTCCCATTAAAGCTTCCTCCTCCCTTCATACCTCTCCTGAGGCTCTAGCTTTGACACAGGGACACTTGGGGACATGCAAACCATGCTTTAGCATGGCTGTCAGCTGTGTTGGACGGGAGCCTGGGTGACCGCGATCCTTTATTCTTTGCTCTGTTATTCAGCTTTCCATCCCTGTGACAAAATGCCTGAGGAAGTCAGTTAAAGGGGGTAGGCTGATTTTGGTTTTCAGAGGCTTTGGTCCATGGGAACTGGGTTCTGGACCCAGTTTCTGGACCTGTGGGGAGGCAGAAGAACATGGCAGATGGGCTGTGGTGGAGCAAAGCTCCTCTCCTCATGGTGCCTGGGAAGAAAAAAGTGTGTGGGGATAGACCAGGACAAAATACGCCCTTTGAGGACACAACACCGAGCTGCTTCCTCCAGCCAAACCTCCACTCCTAGAGCGCCGCCAGCTGCCAAGGCTCATCAAGCTATGAATCCAACAGTGGCCAATCCATCAATGAGCTCTGAGCCCTTTTGTTCTAGTTATCTCCCAGACGCCCTGTTTCTGAGCACTGCTGCCCTGGGACCAAGCTTTCACCCCACGAGCTACTTGTGGACATTTCAGGGCCAAACCTGAACAATCCCAACCAATCCAGGCTCCAGAAGAACCAGGGCCATTCCTGTTTCCACAAAGCAAAGGCAATTTGTCCAGACAGACTGTGTTTACTCTCTGCACGTGGGCATCAGGCCAGTTGGGTAGGAGACAACTGTACACACACACACACACACACACACACACACACACACACACACGTATAGTTAGAGATGTTCTAGAATTAATTTAGGTGAGTCTTTTAGCCTTTCTGATGCTCTGTGAGGCACAACTGGGAAAACCCCTGAAGCCTCCGTGACGCCTGCTCCATCGCACACGGGCACACACCCAGGGCCCACATTCGAAGACCTCGCGCTCCCAGGTCCGCAGCCTGGCCAGGGCCCTCCTCGCCCTCCATGGGTCCCGCCCATCTGGCAGGCTGCAGCATCTCCCGACAGGAGGTCCTGGTCCTCAGGTCCCTGGCAGATTGCTGAGCCTGTGGCTCCTGGTGAGGGGAAGCCGGGTCCTCAGCAGTGCTGCGCATCTACCTGAGATCGCCCCTCAGAGTGGTGCACTGCCTGGTCTCCGAGGCCAGGCAGGGGCAGTGGGTCCTGGGTTTCCGTAGCCAGCATCCCTTGGCATGTACCCTCCCCGTTCACCTCAGAGCCTCGCTGTCCAGGGTCCTCCTCCCTCACTGTGTGTCCTTCAGTGTTTAGCTGAGCCCCAAAGTCAATCATGTTTGTCTGTGGATGACATGATTTCACATGAACATGTTTACTGGTATCAAGCCGAGCACCTCTGGGGTGCGGCCCCTCCTGCTAAGGAACGCCTGGCTCTGTGCTCAGCAGGGACTCGAGTGAGGGGAGTGGCGGTGCTCGTGTATGGGTGGTGGGGTGACTTTCCAGCTCATGGTGAGCCTCGGTTCTTGCTTTTCAGTGACAACTTGGGCGTAAGCACATGGACCGAGTAACAGTCTTCTGTCTGCGCTCCTGGTCACAATACAGTGACACAGTGCAACCTGAGGCCAGGAGTTCCTCGTAGCAGAGCCTGAGGAGGTTGGATTGGGAAAAGCAAATGGTGGCTCGGGTGAGCAAGCAGCCAACACCTCTCTGCCCAGAGCGTGGACCTGAGCAGGGCTGGCAGCAGAGCCTGCCGGCCTCAGCCTCTGCCTGGCCCCTGCAGACTAAGTGTCCTGGCCTCTCCCGGACACACTGTGTGTCCTGGGGCCTTCTCTTCAAAAGCTGGAGGACGCAATCCTGCCGTTTAGGGTTTTACTCCTACTCTTCCTACTCGTGGCCAAGGCCTTCTCTGCTCGTATTTAGGGTTAGACTTGGTCACGCCTGGGCCACCCGTGGAACGGCAGGCAGAGTCCTTAGAGCTGGTGACACTGGTGGCCTGGGCAGAGAAGGACTGAACTGCACACGGGGAGAGTGGGACCTCAGGACCGAGTGGGGCTGAGAGGCAGAGAGCATTTCCCGTTCAGGTTGATGGCCCGTGCCTTAGACCGAGCAGCGCACGTGTAGCTGGAGCAAGTGTGAGTGTGCGCAGCACAGACCGGGGCACAGAGTAGCCCCCTGTTGCTGCAAAGGCAGCCACCTCAGAACTTGGGACACCACACTTCCGTTACGCCAGCAGCCTTTGGTCAAGGGTGTGGAGGAAGCAGGAGGCAGCTCTTGTCTGTCCCATGATGCTTATTCCCCGGTGCCACTCAAAGGCAAGGGTGGAAACGCCTTTGCTCTGAGCTCTGGAGTCCGGAGCACACAAACCCAGGGACCAGCTCCTGCTCCCCTGGGGCACCCCAAGGGTGGGCCGCAGATGCAAGCAATGTGGCACGTCTGCAGGGGGTTTAAAGGGACAACCCGGCCCATATGA